GAGGGGAAGTTAAAAAAAAAAAGGTCTCCTGCCCCTTTAAGGGTGGCCATTTTGAATTCTGTTGTTTTCCGTGGCACACCTCCAACTGTCTCGCAGCACACCAGTGTGCGGCGAAACACAGTTTAAGAAACACCGGATTAGGCTGTGCACTCTTGAAGTTAGCAATAATATTCTGCACTGGCTACCTTCAGCTAAGTCCAAGCTGCTTGCTAAATGGCAATGCCCTTTTGAGGTGACCTGATGAGCAAGGCCAGTGGATTATGAGATACATCCAGTGGGAAGAAGCACGAAAGTCTAGACTTATTGTATGACCCTCCTGAAGGAGTGGAAAACTCAGGAAGGGCTGCTGATTACCTGTATCTCCCAGAACCAGAGCTAGGACCATTGGCCAGTGACTCCATTAACTCTACAATTAGTTCAGGCCTTCCCCGACATGTTATCAACTTTCCGGATGTGGGCTAGACTGGTTAGTCACCACATTGCCACCCTTCCATGCCAAAAGTTCCATGACTATCACCAACCCCTGCCAAAGAAGATGTGGGATGTGGCCTGAAGGGAGCTCCAGTTTATGCAGGACTCCCTTATGTCTGGAGGGTGCCAATTGAAACTATAAAGAAAAATGCTAATTTTCCTCTGATATCTTCCACTTATAGTAATTTTAGTGCTTGTCCAGACCAGGATATAAAGGGGAAAAGGTTAAACTAACATGTTTAAGACAAGGGAAGTTCTGCGGTAACATGTTTGGGCTTGTCAATGTGAACTCTAAGTTTTACCTAAGCCCGCTAACCCATGTTATAATACAACATCTTTCTCTATACTAGAGTTTCCTTTTATTGTAGTCTAGACAACTCGTAATACTAGCAGGCAAAACATGCTCACAAAGTATGGTCTTTATTTTGAGTCTCAGACAGGTAACCATGTTAGTCTAAAAGACTAACAGATTTATTTGGGCCAGGCCCACCAATGAAGAGATTGGGGGGGAGGGGGGGGGGTAATGGGGATAGTTGCCCCAGGGCCTGGTGATTCTAAAGGACCTGGGGCTCCCTGCCACCACTGCTGCTACTGCAGGAGCAGCAGTGGCTGGGGAACATAAGAACATCACAATGGCCATGCTGAGTCAGACCAAAGGTCTATCTAGCCCAGTGACCTGTCTTCTGACAGTGGCCAAAGCCGTAACAAGAGTAGGACAAGTGGGGCACTTGCCCCAGGCGCAGTACATTTAGGGGTGCAAAATTAAAAATTAGAAAGTTAAAATATTATTTCATTTATATCTTTACTATCATCTATTTGCAGTCTCAATATATGTGCAATTAACAACATGTGTAATGAATAACATTAATACAAAAAATTAAGAATTGTATAATTTTTTTGGGGTGGGAAGGGCACAGTTCAGTAGCTTGCCCCAAGCACAGAAAAGCTTAGTTTCAGCTCTGACAGCAGCCAATGCTAGGTGCCCCCAGAGGGGATGAACAGACCAGATAATCATCAAGCGATCTCACCCCTGTCATTCATTCCTAGCCTCTGACAAACACAGGCTAAGGACACCATTCCTATCTATCCTGGCTAATAGCCATTGATGTACGTAACCTCCATGAATTTATCTAGTTCTTTCTTGAGCCCTATTAAAGTCCTGGCATTCACAACATTCGCTGGCAAGGAGTTCCACAGGATGACTGTGCGCTGTGAGAAGAAGCATTTCCTTTTGTTTGTTTTAAACCTGCTATCTATTCATTTCATTTGGTGACCCCTAGTTCTTATATCAGACGGGTGGCCGTGTTAGTCTGAATCTGCAAGAACAACGAGGAGTCCTGTGGCACCTTATAGACTAACAGATTTATTGGAGCATAAGCTTTCATGGGCAAAGACCCACTTCATTGGATGCATGTGGCGAAGTGGGTCTTTACCCATGAAAGCTTATGCTCCAATACATCTGTTAGTCTATAAGGTGCCATAGGACTTCTCCTAGGGTATGTCTACACTACCCCGCTGGTTCGAACTAGCGGGGGTAATGTAGTCATCCGCAGTTGCAAATGAAGCCCGGGATTTGAATTTCCCGGGCTTCATTTGCATGAAGCCGGCCGGCGCCATTTTTAAATGCCGGCTAGTTCGAACCCCGTGCCGCGCGGCTACACGCGGCATGGAGTAGCTAGTTCGGATTAGGCTTCCTAATCCGA